GCGCCCAACCGGGGACCGAGACTGAATAATAATTAGCTCAGAATGTAATTTTAATTTCACTATAACTCTGTAAAATTCGAGAAAGAATTTTAATATAGCAGGGGAGTATGTCACAGTTCAGAACTGTTCACTATCTAGGGGCCCGGGTTCGAGTTCCAGTCAGGCTGCACATTTTTTTCACCCTGTGACACATGGAAAAAAATGTGTCCCCTCCCATCATTTTATCTTTTTGTGTTGTTGCGGTTGAAGGGCTTATATTCACAAAATACTGAAAAAGGTTAAAAGGTATGTGACAAAATAAATTGTAATATGTTTCTCATTCTGTCTCTCTTCAAGGTTTTGCTACTTGTAACAATCACAACCAAACCAAATAACGATATGGCACAAATCAGACACCATAGTTAAGTAATCCTCAATACTTTTTTGGCAAAATGGCAGCTCAGTTTTAAAAATGCAGTAAAGCTGTGGAGTTCCATTGTTTATTTGAATTGTCATTTTTGTCTAAATGATTTGTTGAGTTGGGAAAACGTTTTGTAACATTCTGATATCAAAGTTATATAATGTAACGACGCATACGTACTTAATCAGTTAAAAGAAAGTATATATAGATAATATTTTTTATAGAATTTGTCCGCCATTTTGAAAAACGGCCGAAGGATACAAGCCGCTTTAAATCGTGTTATTTATATTTATGGCGTTTGTTGATAAGAAAACAATCATTGAATTGTGAATATTAAAATACATGATAAGTTATTAGACCTTTATTCTTAAGAATAAATGTGTATGGTAATGAATGACAAGTTTTAAATTTATAGTACCCTTTCGGGTAAAATTTTCGGGTAATTTGACCTAGTTTTCGGAGAAATTGGCAACTTTCAACTACAGCTTATGATTAGTTCTAGCAAATTTAGAGATAAAACAATGGACTAGAAACAAAGTTCAACACCCCTGCCAAGTTTTAAAAGCATTTATTTTCATGAATTTAATACTTTTAGAACCTTGCAGGTATTTTCAAAATGCCCTACGAAAGATGCAAAATTTGGCGATTTAGCTCAATTTCACGCATATATTCTGGAGAAAATACATACTTTCAGAATATTCGAATACATGTACCGAAGTAATTGTTCTATCCTGGAAATTTATACTAATTTTCACAGCGCTTTGCATGTAATCAAAGTTACAGGCAAGTTTTAAAAAACATGTGTAAACCATGGTAAAATTACGCCCGTGTGATTATTACGCGACAACGGTCCAAAATTTTTTGCGCAATTATTCAATCAGTCATTGTTTACTATACATACGGTGTCACAGTGAAAATGTATTTCGTTATTTTTACAAATTATTTTCTTAAGTATATTTTTTCATATTCTTGTACATTAATCATAAAAAATTAAAGAAAGAAAACTAAAATGATATAAAGTATTTTTTTTTAAATTAAAAGTAAAAAAAATATATTAGGCTCTCTGAAGCCGAATTTACTTGTGGTGGCGGTGCTTACTGTACTGATCAGGGGAAGTAACCGCTGCGTGGAGTTTGCACCAGAGTAACTGTCACGCCTTGTAAATGATAGAGCTAACTCTTTCAGAGGTATACGGTAAATCGCTCTATCGCTACTTCCGAGCTAGTGCATGTCACTAAAATTAACGTCTTATCGTTTTATATATATTTTGAAAACTCTACACTAAATATCGAAATTCAGTGACTGCTATGTTATGTCGGTTTGATTCAATTTTCCAAGAAACGTAAAATTAATAAATTTGTGTTTGAAATGAAGTTGAAGCGGCGATTCCCAGTTAGCGCGTTTAATGTTGAATGGACCGTTTCATCATGGATCAGACTATTTTTCCTGCAATTTTCATAGAAACAGCGATTCAGATTGAAAACAAATACGTTTTAAGTAGACAAAAGTTCTAGAAATCAGATAATAGTGAAATCTGAACATAACATTAGTTATCAAAGAAAATATATAATTTTTTTGTGTGACAGCTCTGTAGTGAAGGAGGTAGCCATGTCGTCAAGGAAATAGCTCTATGGTTTCAAAAGGGACCAACAATGGTAAAGAATGTAAAAAGCTCTATAGGATGTTGATACAACGGATATCATTATGAAGACAGAAATCAACTATTTGACAATATTTGTTTTAAATTAGCAGTTATTTCTGCTACATCATTCACGAAGAGATCTTACTTTTATTCCAACTTCAAGACAAATGTGAACACTGTATACAAACTTGGACTCCACATTTCAAATGTTCACACACAATTACCTAAAAGGAACACTGTATGTATACACTGATCTAAACAGTTTAGTATGCTTTAGAGTTTGAAGCGTCATATAGTCACCGTTCAAATAGGAGAAAAGAAATATGAATGCGAAAATTGTGACAAGAAATATCTATTTAGCTTTGACGTACTTGTATTTAAGGGTTTCTGAGAAGATTTTATTCTCTATTTAAAATGTACAGGAAGTTTCCATTTCATCTAACGTACTAGATTCTACATTGTTTTCAGCCAGTCAGAAGGCTATTATTCTTTTTTTCTTTAAATGTCAACACGTAATTGTGCATTTCTGTGGTCGAAACGAGCACCACGTAAAGTAAATGAACCAATATCTTTATTGTACAGCAAATAGAAAAAAAAGTGAAATAACGCACGCACACGGCTGCTCAGGCATTGATATTGAATGAGCGCAGGTTCAATACTTCATTTATCATTGGACCTACGTGAATATAGATAATACAGATATCACAGATACAAAGTAAAATATGATAAACAAGATCGACAAGGAAAGGCAGCGTTCAATGAACGCAGCCCCCACCCGACCCGGCAACAAGCGCCAGCGGTAAGGCGCCCAGGAGGATCCCAAAGAAAAACAGGACAGGACACAAGGCAGAGCACGGGCAGGCAAACCACTACATAAGGATACACTTGTTTACAGTGAAAAAAGTATTGAGTCGCCTTCAGTGTAATGATAACAATTTAAACGCTATGAATGTTAATGTTTTATTATGCAAATTGTGTCATATTATACAAGTATAGTAATAAGGTTAGTATTATATTGTTCTTATTAAATGTGTGTGCCGTGATAAATGTTATAAATAAATTATATACAATCAGGTAATGTGTACGTAGCCATAGAGCTACCTCCTTCACGACATGACTACCTCCTTCACGACAGAGCTGTCTCACAGAACAAATATCCTATATTTTCTTTAATAACGAATGTTTTGTTCTGATTTCAATTTTATCTATTTCTAGATCTTATATTTGCTTGAAAAGTTTTCGCTGTATAGATGAAAATTGGAGGAAAACAATCTGATTCATGATAAAACGGGCCATTACAACACTAAACTTGCTAACTGGGAAACGCCGTTACAACAACATTTCAAACAAATTTATAACAAGTTTTTATTTTTTCTTGAATAGTTAATCAAATCTTCATGACATAGCATTCACTAAATTTCTTAATTTGGCGAAGGGCTTTCAAAATTAATGAAAAAAGACAACACTTCACACCTGATTTTAGCGACATGCACTAGCTGGGAAGTAGCAATAGAGCGATTTATCGTTTACCTCCATTGTCCGAAAGACATAGCTTTATCATTTTCCAGGCGTAAAACTTGAACATGCAGGCGATTAAAGTATGCAAAATGGATTATTTAACAATTACTCCCTTAATCGTTAGTAAATCAATTATTTTCTTTTTGCAAATACCTCTAAACAATAACAACAAATACTATAGGTTTAGGTTGTTCTATTTGACAGAATTATTACATTTCAAAAACAATAATTTCTCCAGTCCATTGCAAAACAACATCTGCTTGAATGAGGGTTGTCTCGAATTTCGGCGGAGTCATGACGAAATCAACTGAAAATATCTGAAACTAAGAAAAGACTTTAAAAATAAAACAGAACATAAAAAGTGTGGGTTGGAAGGGAATATGTATGCTTTTTTCATTTTACGAATTGTATTCTATCAAATACAGACCTCGAGTGACGCTTTTACACATATACTCCCTTTTATACAGTAAACGCACGTGAAAATCGTTCAAAATTATACAGGAATGTGCAACAGTGTAAATCGAAAATTATAAATATTTGCTATAGATATAACAGATACCATAAACTGCGTATTGATCGATACGAAAGTAATTTCATTCACTCACTTAATCGTTAGTAAATCAATTATTTTGTATTCTCAAATACTTCTAAACAATAACAACAAACATTATAGGCACGAACTGCACGAAGCGCCGCCCCATGGGTCCTCTCAAATAGGGGTTGCTATTTCCTCTATAGCTGCAAAAAGAAGACTGCCCAGAAGGGCTGACAATATCAGAAGACACAGCTTACGTTTATCAATCTTATTGATAGTTCTTTCCTCTGCTTAACTTATACGCCTTTCACCATCTGAATCAGAAGCAAAGTGAAACAACTCATACTCATTACCTGGACCCACCCAGCTGAGGAAATATCAGCAATACGAATAATGTTATTTCTTCCTTCTATACTTTCTTAGCTTTTGAAGCATCTCTTTTACTAACTGCTCTATTACAAATGTCTAACAGCACTGAAATTTCACAGTTGAAATCAAATTGTTTCTTATTTCCAGCACTGAGAAAGAAATTGAATAATTATATTGTTGTTAAATCTGACCTTTTGCATGACAAAGATTTTGGTCTAAGGCCGCTTAAACGAGAAATAAGACACAAGATTAACGCATATTTTATTAATGGGGAAATATTGCAGAACAATGTTTTATTCTAATGTAGTCAAATGTTTGTGAACAAGAGGGTCATGATGACCCTTATGTCGCTCACCTGATTATAAAGGCTCGAACTGCGATGGAAAAATTAACTTTACAAGTTATGAATGAAAAGCAGATATTGATTCTAATCTTAAACTGATAATTTTCATACAGTTCATATTTTCATCTGAAATATTGTACAATCATTTAAGATAAAAGTCACCGCAAGGCCGAACCTGTAACGCTCAGCTTTTTCCTTTTTTGCTTTGGAAATCACTGATTGCTAAGTAAAGTCAAAATTTGTTATAAAGGTCAATGGTTGCTATGAAAGTCAGTTGTTGAAATGGTAAGTTAACAGTAACTGTTGCTTTTGAAAACAGTGGTTGCTATGGATAGTAAATGGCTGTTATCTATGTCATTAGTTGCTATTGAAATGAAGGGTTGCTAAGTATCAAAATAGAAATGGTGGTTTGTAAAGGTTAATTTAAGGAAAATCAATGATTCTTTGGGTGTGGCCAATATCGACCCTGATTCTATAATTTGAACTTGCCAGAATTCACAAGACAATAGTTCATGCCAATAGTTCATAAGCTTTAGTCTCCGTGTTTTTATAGAAGCTGATTATTTTAATCTTAACTATAAAAATGCATACACGTATGTATTATAAAAAAATCTAAGACCCCAGGGGGCTGGATCAATTGAGACCTCCAGGACTACAATTAGAACAAACCTTAATAAATCCACAAAACAATAGTTCATGCAAATATCTAAGCTTTAGCCTTTAGGATTTTAAGGAATTAGATTATTTTTAAAGTTTAATATGTTAATCAAAAATCCACGACCCCATTTTAATCCAATAGCTATAATTTAACAAACTTGAATGTATTCCACTAGAGTATGTGTCTTGACAAATATCTGAGATTAAAACTTCATTGTATATGCATGCGTCACACTGTCCCGAATTTGGCATCAGATGGACACACGAATAAGGGAATGTTCAAATTCGGATCTGATCGTAATAACATCGTGCCATTCGTGAGGGCATCTTTTGCCAACGTATGATCCCCGGCTGAATATAACAAGCTCCGGCAGCAACTTCGTGAGCAGTTCAAAAATCTTTGGCATGCCAAAAAATTGCCCGAAGACATTGCGAAGGTTCATTTTCCGCGTTAATTTTGCCCTCGTAAGGCCGTCGTGAAGCCATCTTATCAAATCGTGTAGTCTTCGTCTTTTCTTCGTGTGATCATCGGTGCAATATGACATTTTTAGCCTCAAGATGACAATACGAAGTAAACACGAAGATTCCCGATATTCGTAAAAAGGGAACACGACTACGTGAAGTCCCCGCAATACTGTCGTGTCGCCATCGTATTTTGGTACGATGCCATCGATATGGGACCACGATGAGGCCGAAGAAAGCAATTTTTAGTGGCTCAAGCGTTGCATGTTTATCATTGTGAACATATAAACGGCTAGACCATCTTCCTCTTTTTCACAGAGACATCAAAAGCGTCCATTATTTGCAATTAATTTACCATTATTTTCAGTTTATTTCCTGCAGAATTACATGCTTTGATGATGCGTCAACCGAGAAAAAGAAGGCAGCAGCATTGCTACTTTAAAGACACCTTGGAAAACATAATGAGGCTTCAGGCCCACTTTGAGTGGTATGATAAAGTTTATCAATATGATAAACAAGATCAACAAGGAAAGGCAACGTTCAATGAACTCAACCCCCACACAACCAAGCAACAAGAACCAAGTAACACAAAAGGACCCTCACCGGAAAAACGGACAGGGCGCAAGGTAGAGCACGGATAGGCTTATCACTTAAATGATACATAAGACGAAATAATAGTAAACAACAAGGAAATCAAAGAAAACAAATAAATGATTGATTTATTAAATTAATAGAACTAGGGACAAAACGGAAAATACTTACCGTAGACGAGAAAACAACAATGGATGCCGACAAAAGTGTCACCAAAGCAGTAAGAAATAACAAAGACATGCATCTGAGGAACAAAGAATGGCGCCGCCTTGGACCGGTCAGCAGCATAAGCACTGCTGGGGAGTTTAAACCGGTTAACAGTGCACCAACAGTCACTCTTAGCTCACCATGATCCTATAAACGAGACGGTGTAAATAAAATGAATCCCCACCAAGTAAATTTATAACATTTGTTATGGTTTCTAAAGGAAAACAAAGTAAAACACCGAGATGACTATGTAGATACACATAAAGGAATACCCATATGACCATTACAAAAGTACTCAATAATCTGAAGGAAGACAGGGTAACAACAAAAATCACTTACAAGGGCCCGACGAATCAAGGCAGAAGACGAACATTAAGGCAATTCAGTCCCAAAGGGCATTAAACTGTCCATCAAAGCATATCCCACTTGGTCCGTCAGATTTAATCAAAAGAGGAAAGGACCAACTGTTGAAGTGTTGAACACTAAGCATGCGGTATATTTAAAAAAGTGGAGTCAAAACCTCTTTTGGTTAAACGTTTAATAATTTTAGTACAGGCAACAATGACCAAAGATCTTTCGAAGGAAGTTTGTAAATAACATCTCCGTTCAAATCATTTTAATCACTACTGGATTTTTACATAAAATCAAAGTTACGATTGTTAAATTTTGTAAAATATCTACGTAATTTATAAAAGCGGTAGCCCTGTTTGAGTAGCTTTATTTAGCTTGTTAAAATCCTTCACGTTGCTATAAGCTCTAGCGAATCTTATTAACTGTGATACATATACCCCGTCGGATGTTGCATGCGGTAAGTCTCCATCTGAATGTGGATAGTTTACTATACCATAATATTGCGCCACTTTTGTCATAGATTTTTGTGTGAATAGAATTGTTTTGATGTTATGAAGAGACAAAATAAAGTTTAAACGTAGTTTAATAAGCTCCCAATACTATCTGCAACTGAAATTTGCCGCGGTTGGCCGTGGTTTGTATACCACCCGGAGGTGAAGGTCACTTGACTCCTTCGTAACCACATACGAAGGCATCGTACTCAAAATACGACGTCAAGTACCTATCTTGTGACGTTCGCGTGTCCTGCTCGTACGTTCGCATGTCCTGCTGGTAAACTACTTTGTACAAAACTGCATCTTTGAGGTGACTTCGTGTATGTATCGGATGCAATCGTGTGACCTTCGGTAGGAATCGTGTGTGGCTCGGATGCGATCGCGTGACCTTATGTAGGAATCGTACTTGCTCCGGCTGTTGAGAGACTGTCGACCAATTTCGGGGCTATCTTCGCACGAAATTAAAAATTTCATATTCGTATGCCCATCTGGTGTCAATTTCGGGACAGTGTGACGCCTGCAATAAGGAAATAATATCTAAATTGTTACCCATATACATGTACATCAAAGGAAGATCTAAGACCTTCCCCCACCTGTTCGACAAACATTGACCAAAGGACTTTAATCTAAACATACATGGTAAAGGCAAACTAGACAATGTTTAATGCAAAATACCGTAGCTTAAGTATTGATTGATTTAAAAAAGATGACTTTTAATTATAAGAAAAAAAGTATGCCCCCACCAGGTTGAGTCAGTTTAGACCCTAGGGCTACTATATATTTTAAAGGAAACTTGTTGACAGGTCAGCATTTAATGTTATTAAAGGAGACACTTAATTAATTTATAAAGAGTCTGGCAATTAATTTTAGCAAAACAATAAAATCTAACGAGAATAATATTTCAAAAAATAAGACAAACAAATCTTATTTTTTTAATAAATAAATTGTATAGTAGATTATAGAGGGTTAATTATTAACCTGTGTTCACCTATGTATACATAGCCTATGTTTAAAAAGTACTTTATTTTGATTAAAAAATATCGGTTTTGGGAATAAAATAATTCATGGTAAATATTAATTAATAAGTTGATTTATCAAAATAAATTTTCAAGTAAAGGCTAATATATTAAGAGTATAGTTCATTGTGGATAATCTATATATCAGTTCTTACATATATATGCGTGTATAAAAAAATCAATTATGCAATATAAACTCACTCACCTGTTAATTTTTTCCATATTCCATATCTTAATCCAACTTTTATATCCATTTAATTCCTTAAAACTTCCTTGAATTATTTCTATTTACTAAAAGCTTTTATTTTAAAACAATTGTCACTTAATTTATTAATTGAAAACGGAAGTACATGAATGTCCTAATAAAACTGCAAAAAAATTGAAGAGTCGCCATTTAACTTCTAAGTGTCCATCCTGTATTTAAATTGTTTAAATTATTTAAAATTATTGAAGTCATTTCTTCAGTTTATTTTACAATGTTTTTCCTTTGTTTATTCTTTACTTGGTTTTATTGTTTTGAACACAATCTCCCGCATGTAGTCGACGTCGTGTATCACATGAAAAGTTTGTGATCTCCGAACATTTTTTCTAACACGGTCATATTCTGTCCTCCGTTTAATGTCTGTCATCGCTACTGTAACTGACTGCGGCAGATTTTCAAGCACGGTAATAAAGTTCTGTAATCTTAGTGCAGACATTTTTATCCCCTTCAACTTCACACGTTCAATATTCAACATGTCACGTGACAGTATCAATGAACTTTTATCTAGATTGATGTCGCACAACATAACATTAACTAATGACGGTGTTGATATATTTAATTGTAGCCTCCCAGGTAACTCCTGGAAGTATAACTTTGAAAGAGTTGAATATGGAGACAAGTCCAAGTTCATCAATCTCTTACAATCATGGCCGCCATGTTCTTTACAGTATAACCCCGACAATGTTAACTCTTTGATTGATTTTTGACCGGAGATAAAATTGTAAAATGTTTCCAGTAATTTGTGAGATAACGTGAACCATTCAATATATAAATATTGTAAGTTTTGTAATCGCGCCAAATTTTCACTCAGATTTTCTTCATCATTTGTCCATGTACCCCGGAACAAAGTAACGCACTGTAAACTGGGAAACATTATCCGGTTTATCTCAGACTCCTTCCAGCTGTCGCCCGTAAAATAAAGTTTCTGTATATGACTGAAATCTGTGAGAGAGAATAAATCTATAATTTCACGTAAACTGCTGGAAGTATCGTAGATGTTTAAATGAAGTGATTTTATATTGGTTTTATTTTCTTTTAACAAACATTGTAACTGCTTACTGTGCACGGTTTGGTTTTCAATGAAGAAATCTTGTAAATATAAATGAATTTTTTCGCTTTCAGGCATTTTTTGTAAAATCGACACGAACATTTTCTGTATGTAAAACAATTGTATGTATATGAAATCGTTATACATCTTAATTCTATAGTCACGTGTATTAAAGTACATGTTATCGCAATCTCTCCAAGTTCCATAGTCGCGTATTTCCTTGACTCCATTTCTATAGTCGCGTACTCCCTTGACATCATTTATCACAGACATCAAATCATTTGATATTGCACACATCCGGTCAGAATTCATTTCAATTATAAATTCATACATTTTTGACATGCCCAGAATGTCTTGAATATTTCTACATTTTTCTAGAACAATTTTCTGAGCGTCAATGTGAAAACTTATAAATATGGCTGCGAAGAATTCCTGAACTGTTTTGTGGGAAAACGATACTTTACTATACTTTTTTCTTGATGTTGTAGATGTACTTTCTGACAACATTCCTGAGTGAAGGGTAAATTTTGTCTCGTCTAGTGTGAGGTGTTTTCTAGCAACTGATCCATCAAATATTAGAGTGTTTTTCTCTTATTTCACTAAAATACAGAATAAATAAGCTAATTTCCCTAAATGCATCAGAAGTGGATAGTATTTCGTACAGTTATCATATTCAGCAAAGCATTCTGGGATGTCACTGGAAGAAAGTTCATGGGATTGTTGAAGCTCCCCATGGATCTTAATCGTTCTCGATAAAAGAAGCTCGACTATATTTATATAGATATCACAGTTTGAACTCTCTATTTGAACACCGTCACACCATAAACAGGTTATATATATTAAAAGCAGAGGTACAAAAGCAAGCTCAGCGTTGTGTCTCCAACTAATTGTTTTTATGAACTGTGTTACTTCAATTTGTAAGGCATCCTTATTCCGAGAAGACTTCCATCTTTGTAATATCCTTTCTGTAAGTGTAAATGCTGAATCGTAACTTAGTTTTGTAAGTTCTACTTTTTTTCCTAATTGACACGAATCTAGACCCAAAACACCTAATTTCCACGGTCGTGTGGTAGTCAGTACTGTACACTTTTCTCGGTCATTCCTGTGGGGTATCGATTTCGGTGATCTGTAACATTTCTTGTCACTTTTCTCCTCGGGATGAGTCCATTCGTCCAGTCCATCAAGTATAACGACGCATTTCTCATTATTCAAAATTTCAAGAAGGGCATCTTTGGAAAGCGTTTCTTTCAGACCCAAATTTGAAACAATCTTTTCAAATATGAGCTCGTCTATAGAGCATAAATCGTCTGCATCTCGCAATAAGACAAGAAATAAGAAATCAAATTCATGCATACATTCTATATCATTTTTTAACAATGATTTATTCATGTCTTCGTCATGGCAATGAGCTTGACACCACACGTTAGCCAAATATTTAGAAAATGCAGTTTTTCCGATTCCAGCATCAGCGAGTACATATATTTCTAGATTTTGCTTATTTTCAGTTTTAAAAATCTCCGACAATGATTTAACTGGTAATCTGTCCTCACTTTTCGTCGTTGTTGAGTCTATTGAGCTCAGGTCCGGTCTGACATAGAAAGAAACCAGCGGAGTGTCTTTCTCTTCAAAAAGAGGCGACAGGAAAACTTTACTGTGTCTTGTTTTGTAAAATGTTATCAAACCATCTTTCAGCTCTGAAAAATATAAAAAAAAAAAACATTTTGTTACTCAAAAATTAGATCTATTTAAAGAAAAGATGATGTATGAAAACTGTATAAATATTTCACATCAAATACAAATTAACTGTTAGTATAAAGCTTTGTTTCAATGTTATTATTGGAGTGACCAAGTGATAATCGTCACAGTGAATAAAATGAAAATTTACTGGTGAAATAAATAACACGAATTCGAACCGTATTTCAATTTAACAATATTGACTTTATTAATAATGTATTAAGTGTTTTTGTTAAATATAACATAAATTGAAACAAGAGGGCCATGATGGCCCTAAGTTGCTCACCAGAAACAACTGCCTTACAGAGTTCGAAATTATCCTTTGTCAATATTTTCTAATATTTAATTTGAGCAAAGTATATGTTTAAAGAATAATTTGAAAAAAATGCCATGACCTGGAGCATTTGAGTTTTAGCAAAAAAAAACTACCTAATAATGCTACAAAGTGTGGTGATCATCTATCAATTATTTCAGTAGGAAATGTTCAAAGGTTTTTAGATTTTTGGCTTTAGTGGCCCCTAAAAGGAGCCAATCAAATTAATATGAGCAAACTTGATAACAGACTACCCAAGAATGCAACAGACAAAGTTTGGTGATCATCTATCAATTAGTTCTGTAGAAATAGATGTTTAAAGGTATACTTATTTTTAGCTTAAGCGGCCCCTAAAAAGGGCCAATCACATTAATATGAGCAAAGTTGACAAAGTTTAGTGATCATCCATCAATTCTTCTGTAGAAGAAGACATTTAAAGGTTTTTCTATATTTAGCCCTAGAGATCCCTAAAATGGCCAATCAAATTAATATGATAAACTTTGATAAAAGACTACCAGACTACAAGAATGCTACAGACAAAAGTTGGTGATCATCCATCAATTAGTTCTCTAGATATAGATGTTTAAAGATATTTCTTTGTTTAGCTTTAACGGCCCCTAAAAGGGCCTATCAAGTTAAAATGAGCAAACTTGATAAAAGACTACCCAAGAATGGTGATCATCCATCCATCAGTTCTGTAGAAGAGATGTCTAAAGGTTTTTCTTTTTTTAGCCCTAGAGACCCCTAAAAGGGGCAAATCAAACTAATATGAACAAATTTGATAAAAGACTACCACAGTATGCTACAGACAAAGTTTAGTGATCATCCATCAATTAGTTCTCTAGATATAGATATTTAAATGTATTTATATTTTTAACTATAGCGGCCCCTAAAAGGGGCCAATCAAATAAATTCAGCAAACTTAATAAAGGACTACCAAGGAATGCTACAGGCAATGATTGGTGATCATCCATCCATTAGTTCTGTATAAGAAGATGTCTAAATGATTTTCTATTTAGCCCCAGAGACACCTAAAAGGGGCCAATCAAATTTATATGAGCAAATTTGATAAAAGACTACACAAGAATGCTACAGACAAAAGTTTGGTGGTCATCCATTAATAAGTTCTCTAGATATAGATGTTTAAAGGTTTTTCTATTTTTAGCTTTAGTTGCGCCTAAAAGGGCCAATCAAATTAACATGAACAAACGTGATAAAAGACTACCCAAGAATGCTACAGACAAAGTTTGGTGGTCATCCATTAATAAGTTCTCTAGATATAGATGTTTAAAGGTATTTCTATATTTAGCTTTAGTGGCCCCTTAAAGGGGCCAATCAAATCAATATGAGCTAACTTAATAAAAGACTACCCAAAAATGCTACAGACAAAGTTTGGTGATTATCCATTCATTAGTTCTGTAGAAGAAGACATTTAAAGGTTTTTTTTTTCTATTTTTAGCCTTGGTGACCCCTAAAAGCGGCCAATCAAATTAATATAAGCAAATTTGATACAAGACTACCCAAAAATGCTACAGACAAAGTTTGGTGATTATCCATCCCTTAAAGGGGCCAATTTAAATGACATGAGCAAATTCTAGTGCGACTGTCACAAGGATGCTACAGACCAAATTTTAAGTTAATCTGCCCAGCAGTTTCAGAGAAGAAAACGATTGTTGACGCATGACGACGGACGCCGGAGTATCCCCCTTTGATACTAATAGCTCACCATGAGCCTTCGGCTCTGGTGAGCTAAAATAGTCAAGACATGTTTCATTTCGTTAAAAGCACAAAAATGAAGAAAGCATTATTAAGCTTAACAAATCTTGAAAAAGTGTGATCCCTCGTAAGCATAAATCACAACAAAATTACATGATAATTGCTGACTCGGTTTTATTGAGTCTGAACACTGAGGATAATGAAAAAAGGGAACATCTCTCACGCCCCCTGGCACCAGCTTGACCGGTGCTTAGTTTTGATAATGCCAAAGTATCCTATTTACCTTTGTATTTTTCGTTTATATAATTAAGCTGTAATGACCAAGATATTGCTGTTCATATGCATAAAAAGGGAAAGAACTTAAAGCTCGGAAGACTTTTTTGTCATTTAAGGAAATAGAACAATAGCATTTATTGCACTTACCACTATATTAATAACATATGGTTTTGTGGGTAACAATAAAAATATCACCCCTCGTGAAAATACTGTTACTCTGTGCTGAAAGTAGTTTCCTCTGGATGATATTTACTTTTACTCACAAGCTCATGTGTTTTTTATTTTATAACCAAAAACAAATCATTTGAAAATTTCAACTAAATCGACATGCTACAAAATTAAACCAAGAGTAACAATAACCCAACTGTCCTTTCCTTGCAAGTTGAAAAACACGTGACAAAATTTAAAATTTATTAGTCACATGGCACATAAGAATAACTCCAATTGACATATGGGAATCTAACATTAAAACAAGGGAAACATTGTCGCAAAATACGCACGTCACAAAAGATTTTGACAGAGATGTTGGCATTATAGATATGCATATAGGAGATATCTTCAAGAAAGTATCTGGATATTTTATCATCTCTAGTGACATTGACCTTGCAAATATTAACATAAATTACATTTTTTACACTTGTAGTCTTGATAGTTATTATTTTTGTTACAATCCACCAACAAATGATGAATAAATGGTCACTGTTAATAAAATTTGACCTCTATATGTGACCTTGACTTTGGTAGCAGGGACCTTTTTTTTGGAATTTGTTAATTTTTCGGATTTCCTTTTCATTCTGCTGCCTCCGCTACAGTTACTGTAATATTTTGATAAACTCCATCTAGCCCTTTAGTCATATAATGGGGGGAAAGATAAATATAGAGTTTATTTAGTTAAAACACATTTTAATTTGAAAAAATCTCGGTATCTGTTCCGTTGACATGGAAAATACTATTATGAAAGGAGAATCTGAGATACTTTCTCGGGAAGCAAAGGTTGTGCAACGGCCACCACACTTACGAGAAATGTACAAAACCTCTTGTGGGGATCTTGATGAAGGTCAACAAATTCAGTAAGCGCAATTGCTGAATGAGTTTAGAGATGTCTCAGCAAGGGTGAACTTGACCTTAGTGACTTCACTGATGAGGAACATGCCATAGATACCGAGGAGACAAAGCCTGTGAAGCAAGGTATGAGGCAAAAGCCAGCGTGCTTTGCATGGGAAGAAGAGGCCCAGCCTCAGGAAATGCTTAAGGCTGAAGGTAAAAGAGGCAACATCCGATTGGGAGTCTGATCAAGTTTTGATTCGAAAACATGACGGCTCTGTTCGTTATTGCATAGACTATATGAGGTTGAATACGATTACAGACAACAATGGCATGCACCAGGAACGCAAGCCAAATGATTTGTTTCGCAAGTGCTGTCCGCATGTATAATTTTCTATATGATTTCGTTTTGTGCACAACGTGATGTTATCGGGCCTACATAGAAATGTGCAGAGCCGGAACACCTATATCAGACTCGGCGAGCCCTTGTTTAATATAGTTTTGGAAGCTGTGTACTCGTCTTATAGAACTCAGTATTGTACGCAACAATGTATAATAGCCTCATAATATTTCACAACTCGAAAATTAATAAAGATGGACAAGAATTGACACCTTACATATGTTGCGAGTGCTATCGGGCATGTTTTGTTTTTTAATGATAAAACCAGTTACACTTAGAAATTTTTAAACGATGCCAAAGGGCCTAGACTTTCAAGAAAATCTTTATTTCGGATAGATATTGTGAAATGTATTAAAATTTAGCCAAATATTAACATATATCTACTATACGAATCTCTGGTTTTATCAATGTTTCTTGCTGTTTTTGTTGATTATAATGCAAAATTAATGATCATCTCTGGACAAAAGGGCAGATGAAAAGGTTGATATTTCCAAAAAAGAAGCAACACCCTTATCCCTTAACTTTATCGTTCTTTTTAAAATGTTATGTGTTTAGGATATACTTTGTTATGGAAAGTATTCTTCGTATTGAAACATCCAAAGTTTGTTTTACATACCCCTTTTTTTATATAAAAATACATAAATATTGTCTTACTGTCAATCTGTCATTAATATTTATAGGAAAACATCAATATCTACTCATCAATCGTGCTTGATACAGATGTAAATCAATATTTACTCACCATTCATGCTTTATATAGAAGAACATCACTATTTTTTAACCCTTCTTGCTTGAAAAAGAAGAGCAATAATATTTATTTATCGTTGTTGCTTGCATGATATTCCAGAGGTGATTCAAATTTATGTGAACACTTTTGAAACCAATGTTTCTGCACGTTTTTTTTTTCACGAGCTTTTTCGTGCAAATTGTTTTTACATGTATATTACCGTGTTATCTATGATACATGTCGGTTTTGTTACACAATTCAAAATGACAAGACGCAGAATTAGTGATTTAGTTGAAGGCATCGTGTTAGGCCTTTTGAGGCAAAAAATGTCGTACAGAAAAATAGTGATAGAACTGAAATAAATGGGAAATACTGTTCCCATAGGGGTGATTAATCGTTTTCAACATTCCAACAGTTTTATTTAATGTAACATTCGCAATAACGTAAACATTGGCCCTTAATAAAAACAACGTACTGCTGCTACATATGATGTTATCCGAAAGATACGCAAAATGATAAGATCGGTGAATTCACCAACCCAAAGACAGATGGCAACAAATTAGAGGTATCTCAGTCAACAGTAAATCATATCATTTCTAACATAATACGTCTGAAACTAAAGAAAAATACACTGTTCATAAGCTTAATAAGAAGCAAATTCAGAAGAGACGTACTTGTTCTTGGCGTCTGTACCTCCGCTTTAATAGTGGAAAACGGAAAAACTTGGTTACTACGGACGAGGTAATGTTCTACAATGTATATTAGTGGTAGCTATGGTCGAAGGCGTGTTTGCTATGTTAGAGAATACAAGACAGACAGACAATCGGGATTCGTTTGCACCAGGGTTTTTTGGTATGGGATGGAGATAGTTTCTACGGCAAGACGTCCTAGAAAATTATAATTAAAGGTGTTAAAGTTAATGCAGACTACTATGTAAAAATGTGTAAGAACCATTTATGAAAAATGACGTTCCGCGTCCGTTTCCTGGTCGTGAAAAGTAAAAATGATTTTTCATCAGGACAGTGCTTCGAGCCATATAGCTGCCCAGACGAAAGAGTTTTTCAAAGAACGTAAGGTCAAGTACGTAAAACCAGAGGAATGGATGCCAAAGAGTTTCGGCATGGCCGAGTGGTTAACGCTTCGGACTAGTAATCTTATTTCGCTATCTGCATGGGTTCAAACCCTGACAGGGGCAAGTCGTTGTTTCCTTTAGCAAGAAACTGTACACTCATTGCTCAGTAATGGTTGGATCCAGGAACTGATTCGAAAGTGTGTTTATAAGGTAATAGCTTCCTACACATTCGAACTAAAAAAAATCTGTATAAACTAAAGAGTCCTGATGCAGCACCCGTGGACTTTGGAATCTGCGGCATCCTTAAACGACGATTACAAAAACGAAAACATATACAATTTGATTGGATTTAAAAAGGCGTTGAAGCAGGAATGGCAGAAACTGGGCAATCGATCACAAATAAGACACTTGCAAGCTGGCCGAGGCGATGTAGAATTATCTACTATGCCCATGGTTCACAAATTGAACATTTTTTGCAATGAAATGAAAATTATGGAATAATTAGATCAAATTGAAAACTGTTCACACAAATATAAATCACCCCTCGTAGAAGAACATCAGCATTTACTAACCTTCTTGCTTGATATAGAAGGGCATCTATATTTATTTACCCTTCTAGTTTGATAAAGAAGGACATCTACATTTCTTTACCCTTCTTGTTTCATATAGAAGGACATCTATATTTTATTTATCCTTCTTCATGATATAGAAGGTCATCTACATTTATGTATCCTTCTTGCTTGATATAGGACATCTTCATTTATTTATCCTTCTTGCTTGATATAGAAGGACATTATATTTATTTATCCTTCTTGTTTTATAAAGAAAGACATCTACATTTATTTACCCTTCTTTTCTATATAGAAGGACATCTACATTTATTTACTGTTCTTTTTTGATATAGAAGGACATCTATATTTATTTATCCTTCTTATTTGATAGAGAATGACATCTACATTCATTCACCCTTCTTGTCTGATATGGGAGGACATCAATTTTTTCTTACATTTCTTGCTTGATATAGAGTAGCAGCGTTATTAACTTACCGTTCTTGCTTGATATAGAAGTACATCAATATTTACTAACACTTCTTGGATGATTTATAAATTCGTCAATATTTATTTACACTTATTGTTTGATATAGAAGTGCAGCTATATGTACATACCTTTCTTGCGTTTTTTATATTTTTCCTCCTCCGTCTGCATAGAAGAGACACCTGTGTTATCAAACAGATAAAAAGTTCAGGGGGTATGTTTGATATTTTTTAAAAAAAATTTAAATTTTTTTGTGGATGAAATAATTTTAAAAAGGTTTAACAATGAACAGCGTTCTACAGTTAGATACAAGACATTGGAAGCTTTTTATAATGATTAATGAAAGCTGACTTTCACTATGATTGAATAAATATGATGTTTCTATCTCTAGAATTTTTAAGCAATTTGTAATACGCGATAGTGGTGGACAAACACGTTAACAAACCTTTATAATGTATTGAAGAGAGATAGTTTGTAAATCAATACTATTTGATTATATGTAAGGTTGATGTCATATATAATGTAACCGGTAGCTTTTAAAATTGCACTATTCCGCATTACTAAAAAGTTTATAGAGAGACATAATCAAGTTGTGTGTAATTTGCGATTCTCCTTTTCTAATTTCCTCATTAGTTCATCGACATATTGTCATATGGCTCTCTTTTGAATAGTATGATATTTTATTTCACCACATATGTCATATATTCCAACATGTACTCATTGTTCTGCTTAGAATTATCCTACATCATTTTAATGTCGTTCAATAAATTTTCATTCTGATAAACGAACAAAAATATCAAAAACAGACCTTCATTTAGTCGTCTGTAGATCAACTCTTGCTTATTCTCCACTTCAGTAACCCTTTCTTTTACATCTGTCATTTCTTCTTTCAGTCGATCAACATCAGCTTCATAGTCCTTCCACTTTTTAATTTCTTCTTGTACCCTTTTCTCTTCGTCTGGATCTAGAGGGCAATCTTTAAAGTCGGCAATATTTTGCTGAATATTCAGAGGTGGAGAACTTAGTCGAACCAGTATCTGAAAAGAGAATTTAACGCGAAATATATAAACTAGAATTTCGTTTATGTATGCATTATCAAATTCGATGAGTTTGTTGATTTATTCATTGCTAGAATTTAATCATAAAATGAATCAGAACATAAATAATAAAGAATAATAAATAAACACATTGTCCATGTATACTATCTAGCTGATTTTAAAGGCAGACAATTTTTACAGGCACATCATATTAACGAACAAGTAACGAAAGTTAATTGTTAATATGTTTCTTATGTAAGGAATACAGTCAACTTATAACTGATACACAATGTAAAGTATACAGGCGTAATTTCAGATGAAAGAAATGAAAAAACTGAACATTTAGTTGTAGGTTGAGTAAATGCCACTTCCCGAGAGAATCAAAAATTAAAATAAAGTATTTATAGAACTCCATGACTTCAGAATGAGCTTACATTTATTAACTAACCTCTATAAATAATATAAATATTTCACAGCCATTATGAAATGCCTTTATAAGACGTTTAATTAGCGTGGAAAAATCAGAGACGAAACTCACCAAAAATAGGTCAGAATAGGCAAAACAATTCCTTATTGCGTTAGTCACGCAGTAGAAAAATGATTATAATAAAATAAGAATACTGTTAAATCAGTCAATAATTTCATATCACTCAATTATTTCTTGAATTGAGAATATTTTTACTTTTTTTAAATCTTAGTACAATTTTCTCAAAGTCGATTGGACTCATGTGGGGGCATGCAGCTTTAAGAACCTACAACCCTAGAAATATGCTCATCTTTGGATTCAATACTTTTATTGCAAAAATTGGTTGGTTTCTAGGAAATTCGTACTGAAAATATCTAAAATGAATAAGAGAGTTCACAAACAATGTTTTGGATGCAGCATATTCTATAACTAGTCAATTTAGTATGGTTATTTTTTATGAACAACTACCACTTTTGAGATTACCTGCTCGATGTCATTCCGCCAAGTTGCAAAGTCATTTGCTTGTATTGCAGTTGTTTCTGCTATATGGCTTATCTGAAATAATAATTATAAGTATCAGCGTTTAAGTGAAAATAACTCGCCAAATCGTGTGTTTAGAAGGCATTGATAGTTTTGAACATTTCTTTTCAAAGCTTTGACATTTAAAACTTGTGAAAAAAACATGAACGCATAGAAATAACATTGAAAATAATGCAGTGTTTTCGTATGGACATAAAGTATGGCTAATACTTTTAGTGCAATGCAAGCCATATAAATTATAAATATTCATCATGAGAGTACAACACGTGGAAAGTAGAATGAATCAGTAAAAATAACAAATGACAGAAAAATGCAAATGAAAGCTGATTTTCCTTTGAATGCATTCCTAGTCTATCAAAAACAGTTTTTAAAACAATACACGTTTGGCCTGATGAGATATATTTAGAGCCTTTTAAAGATTCGACTTTTATCCCAGAAAAAATTATGTCATTCTCTGCTATCATATAATAACGTCTTAATTATGGCGTACTTACTTCATTTCGGTAAGCTTTTAACCGACATATATCTGCCTCAACTGATTTATCGGTAAATAAAGGTGTTGCGTTCCAGTCGAATTTCTTATTCAATCCAAACAATTTCAGGCTCCTTAAAAGACATATGATAAGCGTGATGTCCATATCTGACGTAGTTGGGACTGGACCACTCGTTGGAAACAATATGTCATATTGTACCTGTGTTATGATCCGGCTGCTTTTCAAACTGTAAATTAATTTCTTTTCGTTATTCAAACATGCACTTAATGTTATGCCTTGTGCAGTTAGGGTCTGGTCAATTTTATTTCTTAAAGCAAGCAGGCCTCCATCTATAATGAGAATTTGTATACGAAATAGATTGGCACGGTTTTCTAGCTTCTGTGCCATTTTCGTTCCTTCCTTATGTCAAATCTTTGTTACAGAATCATCTGTTGATAAATAAAAAAAAATATATTTTGGAATATTGGAGAATTGATTCATAAAAATACCAAAGAGTACAGTTAATTCAAAATTATTTTTGGTCTTACTTTAAACATAATTAATGTTAGATCGTTTGTTGAAAACAATATAAAGATATTCAGATCAAATAATAGTGGTTATTTGGACGATGTTAGAGGATGAATGTTTGGATGATGTTATAATTGTATGGTGGATATTTAGATGATGTTAGATGGTGAATATTTTTGATGATATAAGATGGACGATTCATTTTGATGATGCAAGATGGTAAATAATTAGGTGATGAAAGATGGTGGATATTTTTATTATGCTACTTTAGGGATATTTTGATGATGTAAATGGTTGATATTTGTATAAGGTTAGAGTTTAGATATTAAGATAATATGAGAAAATGGATATTTGGATTTTATTAAATGGTGGATATTTGGATGATGTTGGATGGTGAATATTAAGATTATGTTTGATGATGGATATTTACATGTTGTAAATGGTGGATATTTGGATTATGTTAAATGGTGGATATTTAGATGATTTAAATATGGATATTTAGATGATTTAAATGTTTGATATTTAGATAAGGTTAAATAGTGAATATTTAGATTGTTTTAATAGGTGGTCGATAGTTAAATGATGGTAATGGTGGATATTTTAATTATTTTAATAGTGGATATTGTGATAAGATGAAATGGTGGATATTTGGATGATGTAAATGATGTCCTATTGGACGATGTTAGATTATGGATAGCTAAATGCTGTTAATGGTGAAAATTTAGATGATGTAAACGATTGATATTTGGATAAGGTGGGATAGTGGATATTTAAATGTAGTAAAATGGTGGATTTCTGTATGATGTTAGATGTTGGATATTGAATTAGGTTTGATGGTGGGTTTCTATATGATGTTGGATAATGTAAAATGATGAATATCTATATGATGTTAGATATTGCATATTTCTATTATGCAAGTATTGGATACCTTGATGATGTAAATGGTGGTATTTTGATGATGTTAGATGATGGATACTTGAATGTTGAAAGATGGTGGATATTTGGATCATGTTAGATAATGGATATTTGGATAATGTAAAATGATTATTATCTAGATGAATTGTTGGATGATGAATACTTGGATGCTGTAAGCTGATGAATAGTTAGATATGGATATTAAGATGATGTGAATGATTGATATTTAGATGAAATTAGATGATGGGTATTTAGATGACGTAAGATGATGGATATTTAGATGATGTAAATTATGAATATTCATATGATGTTAGATTAAGGATATTTAAAAGATGTTAGTCAATGGATATTTTGATTGTGTAAGAGGTAGATATTTGGATAGTGTTAGATGATGAATATGTTGATGATGTACATGATGTATATCTGGACGATTTTAGACGATCAATATTTAGATGATGAAAAATGATAGATATAAAGATGATGTTAATAATGGGTATTTAGATGATTTTAATATTAGATGATTGGTAATAATTGATATGATGGATATTTAGATAATGTTAAAGATCGTGTATGTTATGATAAATTTTGTTACAACACTTAGGTGAAATTTTATTTATGTACATAAATTATTATGATAATTATAATTATGCTTATCAAACAATTTTTAGACATCGAAGAGTACGTAAAGAATGTTCTGCAAATATTTGTCCATATTATATGTAATCATTAGAATATATGCATTTATTTCTTATTGAAAAATTTTAGAAAGACTTTATCGAAAATAAATTTCAAATAACCTCCCTTTATTAAAATGAAAATGTAAATTAGGTTATTTTTTTACAGATAATGCTTTTTGGAACTTACAATATTGATAAATCATCATTTGAGCATTATCTTTTGATATAAAACCATAAAAAATGTCTAACAGGATCTTAAACTGATGGATAGTTTTGATGTTGTAAATGATGAATATTTGTTTAATATAGAGCATGGACGTTTGGATGGAGTTTGATGGTGGATATTCGGATGTTGCAAATTATGGCTATTTTGACGATACATATTTAGATGATGTTAGATGAATTTTTGGTTAATGTTAGATGATGTCCGATAAGATGTAAAATGATTGATATTTAAATCATGATTATTTAGATGGTGTTAAATAAATGATATTTAGAATATGGACATTTAGATGATAAATATAGTGAATATCTGGATAATTTTGGATAATAGGTATTCAGATGATGGATAGCTGGATGATATTAGATAATGGTTATATGGATGGTGTAAGATAATAGAGGTTTAGAGCATGGATGTGTAGATGTAAAATTATAGATATTTAGATGGTATAAGATGATGTATATTCAAGTGATGTAAATGATCGATATTAAGATGATGTTAATGATAGATATCTAGATGAAGTTAGATGAACGATATTTAAATGGTGTAACATAGTAGATATGTAAGTATTGATGGGTATTTGGCTGATGTTAGATTCCTGATATTTAGATGATGGATATACATATATTGTAAATAATATATATTTATGTAATATAAATGATGTTTTATCGGATGATGTGAGATGATGGATATGAAGATGATTCAAATGATTGATATCAAATGATTTAAAGAAATGATATTCGGATGATGCAATTGATGGATATTTGGATGATATAAACGATGGTAATTTGGATGATTTAGATAATTGGTATTTAGATGATGTTAGATGATCGATATTTAAATGATGTTTGATATTGGATATTTGAATGATGTTTGATTCTGGATATTAAAATATTGTATATGATGAAAATTTAGGTAATGTAGATGATGGATATGAAGACGGTATTAGATAATGTTTGATAAATGCTTAGAAAACCCTTTTTTAACATGTGTCTAGAAACAAAACTTGTTCCCATAATATTTATTTTTGACTTAAAAATAGCTTGTCATTTATTTTAGAAGCTTATGCATACAAAAGGAACAAGAGCCGGTTGAACCGCGTGATGCTACCCGATTAGGTTTTGAACACAGAAAAATATACCTCTAGAAGTTTCAGAATTATGGCCCGGACAAACAAAATTATGGCCCGGACAAAGTTCAAAGTGCAATAATTCAAAAATTAGGTAGAGCAGAGTTACTTTATTTTTGCACTGCATATCTACGCAATGAGATCTATCTACCTGCAAAGTTTAATGTTGATATCTCTTATTGCTTTAAAGTTATGTTCTTGACAATATTCAAAGTGAAAAAAATAACAAAGGGCAATCACTCCAAAATTTAGGCAAGGCAGAGTTATGGTTCTTTTGCACTGTACTTCTATTTAGTTAGATATATCTTCAATCCTATGAAGTGTTAATATTGTGGGCAAAATGGAACTCAAGTTATGCTCCGGAAACTGTTTTCAGAGACCTTGACCTTTGACCATGTGACCCCAAAAATAATAGGGGTCTTCTACCTAATATGGACAATCATCCTGTGAAGTTTGAATATTGTGGGCCAAATGTAACTTAAAGACGTTTTCGGTAGTTTTCTGTGCGCATCGTTATGCGCTTCCAAGAAAGATAATCACGGATAATTACTCTTCAAATGAAGGTCAAGTTGAATAGTATTCGGATAATTGTTTAAATTTCGGCTATAAGCAAATAATGAGTAAATAATACAGAATAGATATTTCTAAATGTTCAAAAGGAGATCGGTTCAAAAGAATAAGAGGTCGTTTATACAACATCACATAAAGGATTTCTCCAAGCATTAGTACCACAGCTTTGATGATAATTCCGCGCGCGTTACCCCACTCACTTGTGGTATAGTGACGAAAGTGCGTCGAGACTTGATTACTGGCAGACAACTGGGCTAATAAGTTTAAAATGATATATTTTAAAAGTGTTGAATAAAAAAACAAAATTAATTTCCACGAAATGTTCCGAATTTCATTATTTTCTTTGTAAATTTCTGAATACTTGCTTACTGTTCGGGTATGTTAGTCGAGTGAAAAAATAATATGGCCCTAGATATGTTTTAAAAAGATATTCAGTAGATCTATCATTTACTTAATATAACATCAATAGAAAAGGAAATTTTTATTGCAACATGTTTTTGTTGTATATTTGACAATACATTAAGTATAACACTGATATTTCTTAAGAAAGCGTGGTAATTTTGACAGTTGGCATATGCGGTAACCACGGAAACTGCCCGTTTACAAAAAAACTAACACGTCAACATATATATTTTATTTCTATTTTTGAATCCACCATCAAATGTTACTTGATATATCAATAATGTTTTTATTCTATGAAAGAAATTTCTTTATAGCTTTAATTTTTTACAGAATTCATGTTTATTTTTCTCATTTTTTGTTTAGTTAAAAAGCATTAAACCTCATTTTTTAAAGAAATATGTTCAAATTATCGTTTGTTTTATACAGAACACTAAGATAAAGCAAGCTTTGTATAAAAATGTGTTTATTGTTAGTGTAATAAGCTATTTTATACATAATTATATCATAGTTTGGCTATTTTGACAATTTTGAGATATACGGTTACCATGGAAACTGCCATTTTTCAAAAAATCCAACACGCCAACATATATTTTTCTTTTTCATTTTGAATTTGTCATAAAATTTTACACAACATACAAAAAAATTAGAAAATCCTATGAAACACTTTTTTCAATATCTCTAATTATTCTGAGAATTCATGTTCATTTTTCTCATTTTTTGTTCGATTGAGGAACATGGAAAACTCATTTTTTAAAGAAATATGTTCAGATTATCATTTGTTTCATACAGAATCATTACATTAGGTTATCTTTGCATAAAACAATGCTCGTTGTGTGTTTAAAGCTATCTTGTACATTTTCTATTCATTATAACACAGTTAGGCTACTTTGACAGTTTTCAGATATATGGTTACCATGGAAACTGCCATTTTACAAGAAACACGTCAACATATATTTTTCTTTTTATTTTTAAATTCGTCATTAAATTTTACTCATCGTACAAACAATT